CACGTACCTAAAACCCTCCCTTTTTTTTTTTTTTTTACAAATGTTGTGAGAAAAAAAAAAAAGCTTAAATAGTCATTTTAAGCACTTCACAAACTACTCATGTTAACAAATTATTCATTAACTCCTAACCACAGTCTGTAAAGGTCACATTATTGATCTTTGTTTGTGTAGACCTCTACCATTTACACACCTTAAATCATTAACAAATAATTAATAAATGTTTTTGCAGTACCCAATCTAAAGTGGAAACTATTCATCTTTTGTAAATGTTTACTAATCATTAGTATCTTTATTAGCAATCATCTCAATGGCAAAAGGTGACCCAATTGACCTGAATTCACCCTATTTTCACATCTTAAATCATTTATTCATGTTTTTGCAGTACCCAATCTAAACTTTGAAACTATTCATCGTTTGTAAATGTTTCAAAACGTTTACTAATTATTAAGTACCTTTATGGGTTGGGATGCACGATATATCGGCCACCATATCGGTACTGGCCGATAAATATAAAATTTTCGGTTATCGTTATCAAAGCATAAGAAAATTTGGCCGATATTTTAAAGCCAATAAATACATTATTTCCTTCAGAGACGCTTCAGATGCGCACAGTTCGACATGATGGCTTTTAATTGCTTGAAATATTATTGGAATCACTTCAAAAAGGAAAATACAGTGAACTGCAGGGCAAGTCTGTCATGTTATAATGAGATTATTAGCTATTGTAAAATAATATTATGGAATCTTTGTTCGGCGTGTTTCAGTGCGTTGTTACGGGAAGAGCGCATCTACAACGGATCTACACATTCATGACTAGCACAGTTAATTTCGCTTGTGCATTTACAGCCTTTTGTGCAATTGTACGTTGTAAAATTGTGTTTATTTTATGCATATAAATCTGATTTATCTCATATAGAATGCGTTTGGTTAAGCTAATAGAGGGTTAATAGAGCGCTTCGGTTTACCGGTGATCATTTAGCTCAGCGCATGCAGCAGCACACAACATTAATAACTATGATTGGGATTGTCATATGTATATAACATTAAAATGAGAACACTATTATAATAAAACATTGTGAATTCTTTCGGTTTGGTTTACGTGTTTCAGCACATTGTTAAGGGAAGAGCGCATCCACAACAGAAGTTACACATTCTGATTTGCGTCTTTTTGTACATAATTTGTAATATTATGTTTATGTTGTATTAATCTCATATATTATGTGTAAGAAATTATAGTCTGCCTCGACCAAACTTCCACTCCAATTAAACTATTCTCCTTTCTCTACAAAGAGCTTAATTATCATAGAGATAATTCTTTCAATAATATGTAAATAGTATCTCCTGAACGTTATTTCGTCAATCGTCACCTATAGCGTGGGAGCGGCAGTAGGCCATCAAGAACCATCTGCTGACCAAAAGGGTACGCGAATATAATTGCTAGGGATTCTAGATAATCCTATCACCTGAACATTTGGTTGTTTCCACCTGAAAGACTACCAAAGATGTGGGAACGGAAGGCTATCACTTTCATTGTTATCCGCAATTTACATTTAAGACGAAACTTCATTTACATGCGGTAAGATGAAGCGGGAAGATGAACGTAATAGAGTATAAAATGTTTGAGCGTAGGATGCTCGGGGTTCATTCTGACTCCGTTGAACCCAAGGTACTACATGTACTTTGTCACTGATATGCTGCAATAAACATCTTCATCGAGATCTTCATC